CTGTGGTCCCAGCTACTTGGGAGGCTGAGGCAAGAGAATGGCTTAAGCCCAAAGTTTGAGGTTCCAGTGAGCCGTGACGCCAGGGCAATAGACCCAGGGCAACAGCTTGAGATTCTGTCTCAAAAAAAAAAACAAATTTTGATTTGACTTTCCTTATAATTACTGCATTATTTACCCCAAATAGAAAGCGTGTGCCTTACGTCTTTGTATCCTCAGTGTCTGGCACTGCCCGGTGCACAGCAGGTGCTCAGTTAAGAATACTCCTCACTGTGGGGAATTACAAAACTCGACTAGGACAGAGGGGTAGGTAGCGACAGCCCCTGCCTTCCATGACTGCTGAGGGCCCACGGGCGGAAAACTTACAACTCCAGTCGACGGTCAGGCCCCTGCACTACCGGTTCCTCCTGGCACAGCGCCTCGAGGAAGCGGCCCCAGCAGAAAGGCTCCCCGCCGCGGCTGCCCAGCGTCCGCAACACCCCGAGGCCCCGCCGCACTCCCTCGGGCCCCGCCTGCAGAGCCTGCAGCAGGAGGCGGGAAGGGGCCTCCAGCTGCTCCCAGGGCGCCAAGTCAGCGCCCTCAGTCCCTAGAGTCACAGCGCCCAGGGTCGCCATGCCTCACTCTGGCTTGAGGCCTCAGCTGTGGTACTGGGAAAACTAAAGACTTCAGCGCTGTCCTCCACCTCGGGGTGCTCCAGCGCCTGCCACAACACCCCCTCAAAGACAGGATAGAAACCCGAGCCCGAGCTAGAGCCGCGCGAGCGCTCGGGAAAGGAGACAGGATGTGCGACTGAAGGCGGGGCCAGAGCGACAGAGGGGGCCATGGGAGTGGGGCTGTGGGGGTGGGGCCAAGAACAACGCGGGCGTGTCCACCGATGAGGAGGAGCTAAAACGTAAGGATTCATGTGTGGGCGGGGTCAGGCCAGAGCGACGGGGAAGGCACGGGGCGGGGCTTGGTGAAGGGGCGGATCCTCCACCAGTTAGCCTCTCGGCCTCTGCGTTCCACCGTCGCGCCTGGATGCTGTTTGTCAGAACGGATGTCCGGGTCCTCTTGTACGTAAGGACTCTAGCGGTATTTGATTTTAGCGGACATCCATCTTGCTTATAGTTTATGAGTTTTGCCCTAGGGTTTGCCCATAATTTACCATTCCTCTTCACCTCTTCAACAGACCCCAAACTGCCATCATTAGGATTTCAGTCCTCTCCAGTAATATTGATGCAAAAATATCCTTGAGGCTAGGCGTCCATAGCACAGTGGTTACGGCGCCGGCCACAT